GCAGAGAGAATCTATCCAAATCAGCAAAATCAGAAATGAAAAGGGTGATATAACTACAGAAACAGTGGGGAAATTCAAACAATCATTAGGTCATACTACAGAAGCCTATATGCCAAAAAATTTGAAAACCTAAATGAAATGGACAATTTTCTTGATAGATTCCATCTTCGAACATTAAGTCAATATCAGGTAGAAAGACTGAATAGCCCTATATCCCCCAAGGAAATTGAAGTAGTCATTCACAGTCTCCCCTCCAAAAAAAAAAGCCCTGGGCCAAATGGCTTCAGCGTGGAATTCTACCAGACCTTCAAAGACGTGGTAACACCAATTCTCCTCAAACTACTCCACAAAATAGAAACAGAGGGTACATTACCAAACTCATTCTATGAAGCAACAGTCACCCTGATTCCTAAACGACACAAAGACCCAACAAAAAAAGAGAACTTCAGACCTATCTCTCTTATGAACATTGACGCAAAAATACTCAATAAAATACTTGCAAACCGAATCCAAGAACACATCAAGGATATCATCCACCATGACTAAGTGGGCTTCATCCCAGGCATGCAAAGGTGGTTCAAAATACGGAAATCCATCAATGTAATCCACCACATAAACAAACTGAAGGAGAAAAAACCCATGATCATCTCCTTAGATGGTGAAAAAGCATTTGACAAAGTCCAACACCCATTCATGTTTAAAGTCTTGGAGAGATTAGGGATACAAGGCACATATCTAAACATAGTAAAGGCAATATACAGCAAGCTTATAACCAACATCAAACTCAATGGAGAGTAACTTAAAATCGATCCCACTGAAATCAGGAACAAGACAAGCTTCCCACTCTCTCCATACCTCTTCAACATAGTACTTGAAGTTCTAGCCAGAGCAATAAGACAACTAAAGGAGATCAAGGGGATACAAATTGGAAAGGAAGAGGTCAAAGTGTCACTATTCACAGATGATATGATAGTATATATGAGCGACCCCAAAAATTCAACCAGAGAACTCCTCCAGCTGATAAACACCTTCAGCAAAGTGGCAGGATACAAAATCAACTCAAAAAAATCAGAAGCCCTCCTGTATACCAAAGACAAAAGGGCCGAGAAAGAAATTAGGCAAACCACACTCTTCACAATTGCCATTAATAACATAAAGTACCTTGGGGAGACACTAACCAAGCAAGTGAAAGACCTGTTTGAGAAAAACTTCAAGTCTCTGAAGAAAGGAATTGAAGAAGATATCAGAAGATAGAAAGATCTCCCGTTTTCATGGATTGATAGGATTAACATTGTGAAAATGGCCATCCTGCCAAAAGCAATCTATAGATTCAATGCAATTCTCATCAAAATACCAACTCAATTCTTTACAGACCTTGAAAAAAAGATTCTCAGCTTCATATGGAGAAACAAAAAACCCAGAATCTCTAAAACAATCCTGTACAACAGATTATTTGGAGGTATCTCCATCCCTGATCTTAAGCTGTACTATAGAGCAATAGTAATAAAAACTGCATGGTATTGGCATAAAAACAGAAAGGAGGATGAATGGAACCGCATAGAAGACCCAGAAATAAACCCACACACCTATGAATACTTGATTTTTGACAAAGAAGCCAAAACCATTCAATGGAAAAAAGACAGCATCTTCAACAAATGGTGCTGGTCCAACTGGATGTGTACATGCAGAAAAATGAAAATAGATCCATATTTATCACCCTGCACAAAACTAAAGTCCAAGTGGATCAAAGACCTCGATATAAAACCAGATACTCTAAATCTGTTAGAAGAAAAAGTGGGGAACAGCCTAGAACTCATTGGCATAGGAGACAACTTCCTGAACAGAACACCAACAGCACAGGTTCTATGAGCAACAATCAATAAATGGGACCTCATGAAACTGAAAAGCTTCTGTAAAGCAAAGGATATTCTCATCAAAACAAAACGACTGCCTACAGATTGGGAAAGAATATTCACTAACCCCTTATCTGACAGAGGATTAATATCGAGTATATACAAAGAACTAAAGAATCTGAAAAGCAGCAAACCAAGTTATCCAAATAAAAAATGGGAAGAGAGCTAAACAGAGAATTCTCCACAGAGGAATATCAAATGGCAGAGAAACACTTAAATGCTCAACCTCATTAGCCATCAGGGAAATGCAAATCAAAACGACCCTGAGATTTCACCTCACACCCATCAGAATGTTCAAGATGAAAAACTGAAGTGACAACACATGCTGGAGAGGTTGTGGAGAAAGGAGAACCCTCCTCCACTTTTGATGGGAATGTAAACTTGTACAACCACTTTGGAAATCTTTCTGGAGCTATCTCATACAATTAGGAATAGTGCTTCCTCAAGACCCAGCTATACCACTGCTAGGTATATACCCAAAGTTTGCTCAAGTACACAAAACGGATACTTGCTCAACCGTGTGTATAGCAGCTCTGTTTGTAATAGCCAGAACCTGGAAACAACCCAGATGTCCATCAAAAGAGGAATGGATACAGAAATTGTGGTATTTTTACATAATGGAATACTACTCAGCAATCAAATGGAGGAAATCATGAAATTTGCAGGCAAATAGTGGGATCTAGAAAAGATCATTCTAAGTAAAATATCCCAGAAGGAGAAAGACAAATACGGTATATACTCGCTTATATAGACCTACATGATATGAAAAACATAATGAAATCAATACACATAAAAAAGATAATCAAGAGAGCGGACATGGGGTAAGATGATCAATCCCCATTTAGAAAGACAGATGGGATGTGCATTGAACGTATGACAGGAGTCTACTGAAGGCATCTGAAAGACTCTAACTAGCAGTGTTTTCAAAGGAGATACATGACCAAACCTTTGGCAGAGTATAGGGAATCATATGAAAGAAGGGGAGTTAGTCTGATGAGGAAAGGATAGGAGCTCCACCAGGACCAAATATATATGAGTACAAGGTTTTTTCTGAGACTGACAGTCAACCAAGCACCATTTATGGATGTAACGTAGAACCTCTGCTCAGATGTAGCCCGTGGTAGCTCAGTAACCAATTGGTTTCCCATAGTAAGGGGAACAAGGACTATTTCTAACAGGAACTCAATGGCTGGGTCTTTGACCTCCCCACCCCCCAAGGGAGGAGCAGTCCTGTTAGGCCACAGAGGAGGGCTTTGCAGCCAGTCCTGAAGATACCTGATAAAACAGGATCAGATGAACGGGGAGGAGGTCCCCCCCCATCAGTGGACTTGGAAAAGGGCAGGTTGGAGATGAGGGAGGGAGGGTGGGAGTGGGAGGGAATGAGGGAGCAGGATACACCTGGAATACAGAGTTAATAAAATGTAACTGATAAGAAAAAAATAAAATTAAAAAATAAGTTTTATTTTTTCCTAGAAATATATTTTACCAGTAGGCAAAACCAAGATTTTCGGAGTGTAATGGGTGCAATCTGAAAATGTTCTTAGTTTCTTTACAGCCATAGAATGCTGATTTTTAAAATTTGGAATCAATTAGATAAGCTGTCTTCTTACCACCTCTTTGTTTTCTGAACTTTCCTCAGTGTAGAACAATGTCTGAGCTAGCTCTATACTCTAGATACTAGAGAACATGTGATGGATTCCTAAACTAAGGACAGTGAGCTGGGAAGCTCTGCTCACATATGTTGACCTTATGCCTTATGGTTATAGCACTGGACTCTTCATGATTTTTCCTGTTGCTGAGTCCTTTCTATCAATGACCCTGGAAGCAGTCTATCCCACAGGGACAGCGCTCTGTGGAATTCAGTGGTGTTAAACTGTCAGAATAGTGCTGGCATAATTACTTGGGGCAATGTCGATACATATCAGATACAAGACGAGTTCAGATTTATCAGACGGCCATTCTTGCTTCTGACAGAGTAGTCTGAACCACAGTATAGAGGTATGTCTTCATTCTTGGCTATCTGAGTTCTGCTCAGATTACTGTGAGGTACAGTAGGTTGAGGTAATGGGGTTGGGGATGAGCTGCACACACAACCATCTCACACTGTGCTTTTCATGCCACATGGCAGGCTGCCCTCCTTCTCCACTGAAGACTTTGTAGATTATCTTCCAACACCAATAACTTTCCATGAGTATTCTCTCTAAATGCACAGGGGGTTGGTGACTTTGAAGATTTTAAATCACGTAGGGGTAGTGATGGACAGTCTTATATAAATGGGACTAGTGTTCCTTTCTGCCTGTTCACCCTAATGTCCATTCTACTGACTATTGGGATATCACCAATGCAGTGAAGAAGCACAGAGTTCAGGAGTTATCATGATTACAGCTCACCATGTAAAATATTTATTCCATAAAATTTCAAAAAGTGAATCTGTCACTCCCAAAATATAATTTTTTGGTTTTTATTATCTTCAAGTAAATTTGTGCTTTTATTTTTGTCCACATAACACAATAATATCCCTTAAAATAGTCATTGGAAGCCAGTATTTACGGTGAATGGTACAGATTCATAAGAACAAGCTGAACCACATTAAATAAATGGTGTTAATTTGCTTCAGAGGCAAGAAGATCTACACTTTTAAAATGAAAAACAGATTCCTATGTGCATGGATAGTTGGTGAACACAAAACAAATGTTTTGTTTTATGGGCTTTTGTTCAATTTGCATGTTTTATCATTGTTTTATTTTTGTTTTTATTTTCATTTTTGTGTTTTATGGGATTTTTGAGAAATAATTGTAGAGATAGAGAGAAAGAGCATAATTTCTGATAGACAGAGTGGTAGGGAAGGAGTTGGAGGAGGGGAAAGTGATCAAAATACAATGTATGAAAAAATTTAATTAAAGATTAAATAAATTAGAAAACAAAGTCTGAACAGTCATGCTACAGTAACAACGTTGTAACTTTTTGTCATGGAGAATTATGTCAGTTTATCTGTAATCATTTATTAACTCAGGAAGTACATTTGCCTGGTAGACTCTATGCCCCAGCATTTGTTCTGTCATTGTGAACTGTGCTCACTGCCTTCAGGATCCCTTTTGGTTTTGGAAAATGAAGAAGGCAGTGACTTTGCAGGTGAGCGAAGGGGAGCAGGTATGTGCACCCCCACATCAGTCTGTGGTCCTGTGAACTCTGCCCAGGTAGACAGGGCGCGGGGGAGGAGACTCTGCCTTGGTGCTGGCTATCCCTACAGCCAGAGTGCCACCGTGGCTGCAGTTGGGATACTTTCACAGTATCAGAAATTTAGGCTTGGTGGCATGTCTTAAATGCTCTCGATGCCTATCAACAAACACTAAAAACCGAGTAATGGGAAATGGAGGAGAAATCTTGATCTAGAGAAAGAACTGTTCTGTGTGATATAATGAAAGATGTACCAAAGGAGTGAACTCAATACAGACAACACAGTGGAAAGAGGGTTCCTGCTTGGATCTCACGGCTCCATTCTCTCTCTGGAGTATGATCTCTTGCTTGCCTTAATACAAAAGGTTCCATATAAAGTGTTTGTGTTTCTCCATGTAATTTTTTTCCTTTAAGGGAACAAGAGCCAAGGAGAAAACCTCGCCAGGTAAAAATGACATGTATTTTAAAGGCAGATTAAGTAAAAGCATATTTCATAAAGAAATAATAAATATTGTACCTGTTGACTATATGTATATATCACATTACAAACTGGTATAAGGATTGAGTTTAAAGTAGCTAAGTTGTTCCCAGGGGTCAGTGGGTACAGATGCTTACTGCACATCCTAGTGATCTGCGTCACATTCCAGAACATTCATAAAGGCGTAAGAAGTAAACCAACCCCCCAAATTATCCTGCAACTCCCTCCTGAGAACCAGGGCAATATACTTTACCCCATGTACAAATAATAAATTAAAAATTGGGACTGAAGAGATGACTAGTGGTGAAGAGCACTAACTTCAGTTCCAGAGGTCCTGAGTTTAATTCCAAGCAAACACATGGTGGGTCATAACTATCTGTAATGGGCTCTGATGTCTTCTTCTAGTATACAGGTGTACATGCAGACAGAGCACTTATAGATATAAAATACATGAATAAATGATTTTTAAAAACAAAAATTAAAGTATAAAATATCAGGTGTATTTAACAAAACAATCTTTATCGGAGAAAATATTGCATGGTTTCATGTAATTTGTAAACCATAGCATTAAGTCTTGTTATTTATTAACTATCACGAATATCCCTTATATCTATTTTCACAGCTCAAGAATGTGGATCAGAATACTAACCTGACTATACCATATGGCCTGAAAAATCCATAATGGGTTCATCCACATTCATCCTGTTTAACTAATGTCTAGGTGATCTTCCATCCGGAAAAAAGAATGAGACCACTAGTACATACTGGAACTGCAGTGAGCATGGAGATAACTGTCAAATGTTCAATAAACCTGATGGTAATAATTTCAACACACATCATATCTATATGAATATAAACGTGTGTATACAGAATGAAACGGTATTTAAACCTCCTGTGGAAAGATACCAATATATGCTTTTGTGTCTTTATATTTCAGCTGAAAATAAATTTAAGATAGATTAAGTTTACGTTTATTTTTTTTCTTTAAAAAAGTATCAAAAGATACTGTTGATGTTTTAATAGCAAAGATGGCAGACAGTGTTGGATGGTTGGATAGGCGAAGCATGCTTCTATTTTATTATAATCCTTCATGAATTATGGTTGAAACCCAAAACATATGTACCTGGGAAAGTCACAATGTTCTTTTAAGTACAGATTCATAGGCTTATTTATTTTTCAGAAAGCTTTTCAGTTCATTTTTGGTAAAGATGTACAAAATATGTGTATTGATATATATATATATATATATATATATATATATATATATATATATATCACTTTATTTTTGGAGCCTTAAGCTTTCAAGAAAGATGTTTGAGTATTTGTGGATGAATATATGCCTGCAGCTGGAGATGTGAGATTGCAGTCTCATAATTCATTATAATGTACAACACACAGATTCCTCACTTCCTTGATTAAAATTAGGCCTCATTTTCTTGTTATATGTGTTCCTATGTAACAAATAATTAAACTAATAAAGTGATATGATGATGGTGTTATTTTTTCACTATTCCTGTTTTCTTAGTTAGCCCCTAGACTTGCTGATGTGAAACAGCATGCTTAGCTGTTGCTCTCCTTTTATAGCAATTTATCTTCCCTATTGCACAGACCAGGGATGGAGGCCGATGAGGACATGATCCTCCTGAATGTTCTTTCAGCCGACACACCATCCCTTTATTATAGATGGGAAGAAAGCGTTAGTTCTGAGCCAGGTTTGAGTTAAAGGTAACTTCTGTCAGCTGTACCAGACATAATTTTCATTTTGTCACAATGGTGTCTTACAACAATGTGACTGGGCTTGGTATCTGTTGGCACCTACAATTGTTTCTTCAGTCTTCACCAATATTCCTTGCTGCCTTCGGAGTGATTAGGCCCAAGTTGTGAGCATTTGGTTGGTGCGACAGAATGATGAATCCTTCAACTACTAAAATGAGGATCATGAATTGGTCTGGAGAGAGTATACAAACAATTTTCTCCTCATTTTCTTGCAATGAAGATTAGAGAAAAGAATTTCACACTCAGTTCTGCAGAGAATTATCCAGATGGCTTGATCAAGATTACCTCCAAGAGCCTAATAGCTTCCAAACTCATTTTGTTCCATTTCCAAATCTTGAATGGCTGGAATAAATTGAAGCTGTTTATAGTCAAACCTTTAGTTTTCATCCTTAGCTAAAGTAGAAGATATAAGCCAACAGAACATATACCAATCCCAATGGAATAAAGAGGTGATTTGGTTTCCATTACCCATGCCACTCTTGCTACCAATCCACTGTCCTCCTCCAGCAAAACCCAGTGGTCTTAAAACACCATGAGCCTCCCCAATCAGTGGACTTGGAAAGGGGCAGGGAGGAGATAAGGAAGGAAGGGTGGGATTGGGAGTGAATTAGGGAGCAGGATACAGCTGGGATATAGAGTTAATAAAATGTAACTAATAATAAAAAAAAATAAAAAAAACCAAACTTTAGCTGTCCGAAAAAAAAAAAAACCATCATGAGTGTCTTCCTCATGCACAGAATCATTTGATTATGTGGAGGTCTCAGTAAATGCCTTATGACTTCTAATTTTGTCGCTGGGTGTAGCCATATTTGGACTGAATCTTGAATCATTCATTTTCTGTGATTTAAATTTGGAAGATAATTAACATTGTTCATTTCAACTCTCTTGCCATAAAAGCAAGGGTACAACACTTTACAGAAAATTATTATTAAGGCTTCATATTAAATTTAAAAAGAATATGCTTTGAGATGTTAAATTCTAGGTAATGTTTATCTGCCAGTATCTATCAATATCCTTAAGTTCTATCTTTACCACTTGTCATCCTTGCCAGAATATGTGTGTGTGCGTGTGTGTGTATATATGCTGATCTATCTAAATTTATTCTTATATGTACCGATAACACATTGGATTCAAGAACAGGCCATGTATGTAGTGTAACATGACCCAAACATGGTTTCTTAATCAAGGTGTCACTTCTATTTTCCTGTATTATGATGGGCTCAAAGCCTAGAAGGTCTTTGACAGAGCTGAAGGAAAGATGTAGCTTTTCTACCTCTGCGCATCACTCCTTGCTTCATTCAGATGGCCCTTGCAGCTGTAGGTTTCTGATTAAGGCTTAGTGGTTCCTGTTCTAGTCAGGGCCATGTGCCTTCTCAGGCAATGTGAGGACATGGTTTCCCTCCCCCCCCCCAAAAAAAAATCATATCATTTGACTCCAAAGATACGAACTTTTATGGGTTCTGGAAGCCAGGTTAAAAATATACTTTGAGAGGGCCTCTATAGTATGCCCCTGTCTTGTTCCCTATTTTCTCCCTCTTCCAATGTCCACCCTGTTTGCCTTTCTGAGTGAAGATTGATCATCTTACACAGGGTCCTCCTTCTTGTACAGATTTTAGTATGTTTATCCTATATTATATGTCTAATAGCCACTTATAAGTGAGTATATGCCATGTGTGTCTTTTTGCTTCTGTGATACCTCACTCAGGATGATCTTCTCTAGATTCCACCATTTGCCTGAAAATTTCATGATTTCTTTGTTTTTAATTGCCGAGTAGTATTACATTGTGTAAATGTACCACAATTTTTGTATCCATTCCTCAACTGAGGGAGATCTGGGTTGTTTCCAGGTTCTGGCTATTAGAAATAAAACTGCTACAAACATGGTTGAGCAAATGTCCTTGTTGTGTACTTGAGCATATTTTGGATATATGCCTAGGAGTGGTATAGCTGGATCTTGAGGAAGCACTATTCCTAATTGTCTGAGAAAATGCCAGATTGATTTTCAAAGTTGTACAAGTTTACATTCCCACCAGCAATGGAGGAGGGTTCCCATTTCTCCACATGCTCTCCAGCATGTGTTGTCACTTGAGTTGTTGATCTTAGCCATTTGGATGGGTGTAAGGTGCTACAACAGAGGGCCCTGAAAGACTCTACCCTGCAGGGTATCAAAACAGATGCTGAGTCTCATAGCCAAACTTTGGGCAGAGTTCAGGGAATCTTATGAAAGAAAGGGGAGATTGAAAGACCTGGAGGGGACAGGAACTCCACAAGGAGATTAACAGAACCAAGAAATCTGGGACCAGGGGTCTTTTTGGAGACTGATACTCCAATCAAGGGCCATTTATTACCTAGAACCCCTGCACAGATGTAGCCCATGGCAGGTCAGTCTCCAAGTTGGTTCCCTAGTAAGGGGAACAGGGACTATCTCTGACATGAGCTCAGTGGTTGGCTCTTTGAACACCTTCCACTGAGGGGGGAGCATCCTTACCAGGCTACAGAGGAGGACAGTCCTGCATGAGCCAGTCCTAATGAGACCTGACAGGCTAGGGTCAGAGGGAAGGTGAGGAGGACCTTCCCTATCAGTGGACTTGGGGAAGGGCAAAAGAGCAGAAGATGGAGGGAGGGTGGGATTAAGAGGGACTGAGGAAAGGGGCTACAGCTGGGATACAAAGTGAACAAACTGTACTTAATGTTAAAAAATTAAAAAAATATTTGGTGCTGGATCTTGTGCAGATCTTGCATAAGCAATCACAAAACAAATATATTTTGAGGTCATTTAAGACTATGTACTTAACTTGCTATCCTCCTGTGTATTCAATACGTTTAAGTTTTACCTATTCTTCAGTCTTCTGTGTATATGTTATGGCTGAGTTGTAGCTTGGTGTTTTTGTGGGACTCCTAAAAATGGGAGTGGATGTATCTCTGACTCTTTCGCCTGTTTTGGGACTCATCCTCTTATTGGGTTGTCTTGTCTAGCCTCAGTATGAGTGCTTTCGCTTTGTCTTATTGCATCTTGTTTTGTCCTGTTGGCTATTGTCTCTTGGAAGCCTGCTCTTTTCTGAAGATAAATAGAAAGGGAATGAGAGAATTTGAGGAAGTTGGGAGGTAGAAGGAAGTTTGGAGGAGAGAAAGAAGGGAAAACCGTGGTTAAGATGTAGTGTATGAGAGAAGAATCTAGTTCCAATAAAAAA